GGCATTTCTGGTGTTTTCTTTGAACTAAGATATAGAAAAAGATAGGTAATAGTAAATCTCTAAAGGAAAATAACTCATAGTAAATATAAACATAAAAGCAGCAATAGAAAATGAATATTTAAACAACTGAGTGAGGTGAACATAATTTCAAGAAAGAAATGACTTTATTTTATTTAGGCAATATAATTCATTCAACTAAATTAAAGGAAGTTGCAGATTCAGTCATTCGGTCATTGAATTAATGTATCAAAGAAATAATTTCCATGCTGCCTTCCAACTGGGGTATCATAAGGCTCTCTCAGATATTAATATAGTTTTATTGGCTCAAAATATACTTAAACAAATAAAATCCACACCAAATAGCCTAATGTTTTGAAATACGTATTAAATACCCAGCACACTTTTCAGAAAAGGCACTGGATACACTAGACTGTATTCGTATATCAGAATAATAATTTTCTGCTCTGCATAACTAAAACAAGATTAAAAAAACAAAAAATAATTGTTTCTCTAGATCAGAATGAGGCCCTGGTAACACAGTGGTTAAGAGCTCGGCTTTTAACCCAAAGGTCCGAAGTTTGAATCCACAAATCCACCAGCCGCTCCTTGGAAACCCTATGGGGCAGTTCTACTGTCCTATAGGGTCGCTATGAGTCAAAATCAACTCAAGGGCAGTGGGTTTGTTTTGCTTTTTTTTTTTTTTTTCCCCTTTCAACTGGGGTATAGAGGAGTAGAGGGGGCTGGCAAGCACACATATTGAAAAGACTTCCAGGTGATCGTGACAAATATTCCAGGGTAAGAAACATTATTCATAAGGTGCATGGGGAAGAAAGAAGGACGATGAAGAAGGGGAAGGTAGAAGGCAAAGTTGTGAAGTTTACTTTTTGAGTCTGCCTACCCCTTTAGGAGCCCTAGTGGCACAAAATGGTTCAGCATTCAGCCACTAACGGAAATGTTGGTGGTTCAAATCCACCCAGCAGCTGTTTGGGAGAAAGACCTGGTGATCTACTTCCATAAAGATTATAGCCAAGAAAACCCTATGGGGCAGTTCTACTCTGTCACACAGGGTTGCTCTGGGTCAGAATCTACTTGATGCATCTAACAACCTACCCCATTAGTGCCCTCCATCAGCCCTTACTTCCCTACCCTATTCTCATATTTTGTCCACAAAGGCTCCTGCTGATATGGTGGTTGTAGCAATCTCTCCTAGCTGAGAAGGACTTACTTTGTTGGCGCCTTACAATTAGTCACATTCCATCCAATTCAGTACACCTTGACTGAGAACCTACCATATGCAAGCCAGTGTATTCTCTAACGATGCTCAGATGAATGACATTGGCTCCATCCTCAAGGATTTCACAAGCTAAAACATTTGCATTTTAATATATAAGTACACACATCAAATGCTTTTAGGAACTAAAGGAATTGCTGATCATACCAAAATAGAGAGACTCAAGTGAATGGTCCTTCCCTAAATTCCTAAAACAACTCACTTTAAAATTGCTCCTGTCCGCTTCCAACTTCCTACACACTGAATACACAATAGTCAAACAGCAGAACCCAGTTGGAAACGCTAAACTCATCTATAGGGACCGGTGGATCTTTTCAGTAGAGACATTTTTTAATGAGAAGCAGAAATGATAAAGAAAGGAGCATGTGAATAATGGGTGAGAGAATTCTAGGCAATTTTCCTCCCAGAAAACAAATGATTTCCCCTTAAAGAGGCGGAATTCCCCTCACTCCATCTCATCGCAGACATTTTGTGAAGGGCGTTAGTGGAAATGATGCCAGCAGCAGGGCCCAAAGGTGAACAAATGCATATTACACTCCAGCTGCAGCAAGACCAGCCCCTGACCTTACTGACCAAGGGAGGGGGAATGACATGAGAAGGAGGGAAGGCGTGTGGGTAGAAGGAGAAAATTGTCTCTGCAGGATGCCGCCTCAGCTGGGAACACGTTGCTGGCCAGCACTAGGCTGGAGGTCATTTTTTCAACTACCCTGGGCAGCACTGCCATAACCCGCCCCTGCCTACCTCTCTACCTGTTATGGATTGAATTGGGTGCCCCCAAAAGAAATGTTGAAGTCCTAACCCCTGGTACCTGTGAATGCGACCTTGCTTGGAAACAGGGTCTTTGAAGATGCTCAGTCGGTAGAGTTAACATGAAGTCACACTGCAGTAGGGTGGGTCTTAACCGACTAAGAGTGGAGAAGAGACACAGGCACACACATAGAGGGAAGACAGCTATGTAAATACGGAGGTGGAGATGGAATTATGCTGCAGCTGCAAGCCTGGGACTCCTGGAACCTGGGAGAGACAAGAAAGTTCTTCCCCTAGAGTCTCCAGAGAGAGCATGGTCCTGCTCACACGCTGAATTCAGACTTCCAGCCTGCAGAACTGTGAGGTAACAAACTACTGTTCTTAAATCCTCTCATTTTTTGGCACTATGTTAGGCAGCCCTAGCGCACTAATACGCTACCCTTATCATACTACTTATCTCTATCTACTCCTCAACTCCCCAACTCCTAATTATGCTGTAATAACACCAGTTCACCATGGCCTTTCTGCTCCCTCCCATGCTCCCTCCACACACCTTTTCACTTACTGCTCCTCCTACTGAAACACACCGCTATGACAACCACTATCTCCTTTCCTCATAATAATAATTCTTGCACTTCCTTCAACATTTGACTCAGGAATGATTTCTCCAGGAAGCTCTCCCTGCTTCCTTCTTGTCTGTGTGTTGCCTAGCATCCTGGGTATGGCCCAGGTAAGTCAGTCAATCTCACCATCCTATCAGTTCCTCCCAGGGAAGACCCTTGCTTACTCATCTTTGAATCCTCAGGACTTAGTGTAGTGTCTGGCAGAGACACCATCGATTGTTAACTGCCATCAAGTTGACCCCTGACTCATAAGGGGAAAGAAGATGCTCACGATCCTGCACCATCCCCATGATCATTAGGGGATTGGATCATGTGATCCATAAGATTTTCAATGGCTGCTTTTAGGAACTAGATCACCAGGTCTTCCTCGTCTATCTTAGTCTAGGAGCTCCACTAAAACCTGTTCAGCATCATAGCAACACACGAGCCTCCACTGTCAGACAGGCGGTGGCGCAAATGAAGTATATTAGTCAGGATTCAAACCCAGGTCTCCTGCATGGAGGACAAGAATTCTACCACTGAGCCACCAGAAAGTAGGTATCCAATATTTGTTGAACTAATGAGATGCACTGTGTCTGTGTACGTTCTGTATTGAGTATAGAATGGAGGGAGTAGTAAGGAGGTCTCATGATGCTCCCCAAGCAGACTTACAGACTTGAGTCAGGAACCTCAAAGTATAGTGAAGTTGGAATAGCCATGATAGCAATGAAGAGAAAGAGAACAGAGGTCAGGAGGCAAAGAAAAAAAAGAATTCGCCCAAATGGAAGGGTCTGAAGTCATGTTACATGACTCCATGAAGAATTTTCATGATACTATCCCAGTAGACCATGAGCTGGGGGAGGTATGTTCATGTTGTTCACATGGAAGACACTTGCCAGAGAGTCATTTAATGTTGTTGTTGTTAGGTGCCCTCGAGTCGAATTCAACTCACAGTGACCCAATGTGTGCAGAACAGAACTGCTCCATAGGGTTTTCAAGGCTGTGACCTTTCAGAAACAGATCACCAGGACTTACTTCCAAGACACCTCTGGGTGGGTTCAAACTGCCAACCTTTAGGCTAGTAGTCAAGCACTTAGCCACTTGTGCCACCCAGGGAATCCATTTATTTAATAGTTTCTATATATCTAATTCCATATTTAGCTAGAAGCTCTGGTGGCACACTGGTTAAGCGCTTGGCTGTGCTAAGCAAAAAGTGGGCCGTTAGAACCCACCAACAGCTCCTCAGGAGAAAAGACCTGGTGATCTGCTCCCCTAATGATTGGAAACCCTATAGGGCAATTCTACCCTGTCCTGTAGGGTCACTATGAGTCGGAATCAACTCCACTCGAACCACACAACAATAACATATATAGCTATAGAGCTAATCTAATGCTGTTAATTTTGTAATATGGATTCTATTCCTCCCAAGTAATATTTTCAGTGCCATTTTAAAATTCAGAGTTTTGAAAAATCCCTTCAAAGAAAATTAGGAAAGCCACTCAAATCAGGTGGCCCAATTGGACGGTGCATTCATTACCTTGAAAGAAATTTAAGAAATGTGACCTATTTCGTGAACATAGAGGCATTTTGCTGGAGAATGGGAGTTTCTGGTCTTGGTTCTGGGGATTCCCACGTTTGGTCCAATTCCTGGTTAAGACAGAGCAGGGCTCTCTATATGAGGAGAGTGGTGGAGAGGGATGAAGGAGAAGACGGGTTGAGAGTGATGGAGAAGAATTCATTAGACTACATATAAAGAAAGCTAGGTTCCAGCCTCAGCGGTGCCGCTAACTCGTTGTCTTTTGGCCTCTCTGAGCCTTAGTTTCCTCAATCTGGAAATGAGACAGATGGATTGATTAATTGATCAATGAAGTCCCTTCCACCTGTAATTCTAAATGATTCCAGATTTTTAATCAAAGAGGTTCTAGGTAGTTAATTAACCAAGGAGACCCTCGACGGCCACTTCTCGGAAGCCACTCCGCGGGAACTCGATCCTCCGGGGCTCTCCCTTTCCCTCTCCAGCGCCTTCGGCAACTCTGGGCCCAGCGCGCCGCCGCCTTGAGCGCGGGAGCGCGCCGCGCGCGCCCGAGGCCACGTGACTCGGTGCCACGGGGCCGCGCCCGAGCCGCCATGTCTGGGACGCCAGGAGAGACCCGGCCGACCGGGCCCGGGTCGGGGTCGCCGCTAGTCGAGGGCGCCAGGTTCTTTTGCACCGCAGGCCGTGGCCTGGAGCGGTTCTTGATGCGAGAGGTGCGGGCACGGCTGGCGGCCACGCAGGTGAGTCCGCCTCGCTGGGCGCCCGGGAGGTGAGCGGCCCTTCACGTCACCGCCGCGCCCGGGTAGGGTCCGTCCTAGACCCGGGAAGCGACGCGAGAGCCGCGCGCAGCCCCTAGAGCGACCGCGGCGACTGGCCCCGCCCTCGGGAGCTTACTGGCAGGTCCTTGAATTCCTGCTGGAACTACCGCCGGTCGTTTCTGTCCCTACAGATCAAACCTCATTACTGCGGATCTGTCACGGCTAAAGTTGTAACGAGTGCGGTCGAGGCAATTTAGTTCCTAGACTTTCTAGAAGGAATTATTTGATAGTGTTTAGAATTAGACCTACCTTGGAATCCTCTCCACCCTCTGATACAAATGTAATCCTCAGGTTCAGTTACTTGACTCTTGATTTTCTGTTTCCTGTTGATGATTTTCTTATCCTCATGGAATATTGTGAAGATTGTAATATGTATGCAATATAGTGTACATAATGTACATTTTATACACTCAGTAAATAGTAGCTCTAATAATAATATACTCATAGTCCAGCTTCCGGGGGAAGTTAACAGTTGTTGGTTGTATTTTATCTGTTGTTACTTTCAGTGAAATGAACAAGATCGTAAATATTAGTTCAGGTTGTAAGACGCACTGAGTTGGTTTCTTGAAAGCAAAGAAAAATGTAATAGAAGAGACTCCCGTTATCATGACTGGGTATATATGACAGTAGAAATGACGTGTTATCGGAAAAGGAAAACTTCTAAATGCAATTGCCCACTCCACTCCGGGAGCTCCTACAGTGTGGAAGCCCGAAAAGGAGTTTTTGCAGTCGGGGTGGGGTGGGGGGTGGGGTTCCCTGAAGAATAACATCAGTCATTTTAGACTACCCGCTATAGTAAAGCAATAATTTATAATAATAGCTGCTAACATCTATTAAGCTTTAATATGCAGCAGGCATATGTCTTTATAACCTTACCTTGTATTCACTGGCTTAATTTTCACAACCCAAAGGCTTGGCTGCTATCCGAAAGGTTGGCGGTTGGAACGCACCAGCAGCTCCACGGGAGAAAAGACCTCGAGATCTTCTCCCATAAAGTTTACAGCCTAGGACACCCTATGGGGCAGTTCTGTTCTATTTTATAGAGTCACTGTGAGTCGGAATCTCCTCGACGGCACACAGCGACATGAGGTAGGTAAGAGTTCTGAGTGGTGTAAACAATTAAAATTTGGCTTCTAACCAAAAAGTTTGTGATTGGAATCCATCCAGAAGTGCCTCAGAAGAAAGGCCTGGCAATCTGCTTCTGAACAATCACAGCCATTGAAAACCCTCTGGAGCACCATTGTACTCTAAAACACATGGGGTTGTCACGAATCAGGATCAACTCTATGGCAGTGGATCTTTGTTTTTTTTTTAAAAAAGGTAGGTACTCCATGTTTAACAAACGAAGAAAAGGAAGCACAGATAAGTCCAGTAATTTACTTAAGTCATGTAGCTAGAAATTGGCAGAGCTAGGATTTGAAACCAAGCTGTCTAGGAAGTCAGGCATGAGAATATGATTATGTTCAACCCAGATAGCCTGACTACAGGGCCAATCTCCTTGACAACTATGTAGCTGTGACATATTGCTGTGCTGATTTTTTTTTTTTTTTTTTTAATGTTAACCTGGAGTGCTTAGTATGAAAATAGAAGGCAATGGGTTGACCTAATCCGGGTATGCAGGTGATTAGAAAAAAGAAAATCTTCACTTGTTCTCCATCTTCTCCAAAGACAAAATGAGATGGGCTAAATTTAATTGCGTGAAGAAAATTGAACTAAGCGTAAGGAAAAACTTCTTGACAGTGAGAACAATTACCTAAATGCCGAGAGATTTGGGAATTTCCATATTCTGCTATTGTTAGAAATGGAATATTCAGCCTTTGGCCTTACATCTTTTATGGGTAGATATTCCTGGAAACAAAAAAAAAAAAAAAAACCATTCCGACTCATAACGACCCTATAGGACAGAGTTGAACTTCCCCATAGGGTTTCTGAGGAGTGGCGTATGGATTCGAGCTGCCTACCTTTTGGTTAGCAGCCGAGCTTTTTAACCACTGTGCAACCAGGGCATGCCTGGAAATGTGATCTAAATAAATAACTTCTTAAATTCCATCCCAGTTGCTCTAATACAAAGTGAACTATCTTAACGGTAAGGCTCTCCTGAAATAATGATAGCAACTGACATTTAATAAGTATTTAAAATGTGTCAGATACTCTATGTACATCATATGGCCTAATCCTCCAAAGAATCCTATCTGATAGGTCATTTTTACTTTTACAAAGAAATAAAAGAACACTGAAGCTAAGTGGTGGAGCTGGGACTTGTATCTGAATCTCTCTAGCTTCGAAGCAGAGCATTTCCACCCCAGATATACTAAATCAGAATCTACATTTTAACAAGATCCCCAGGTGATTCTTATGCATAATAAATTTTGAGAACCACTGCTCTACTAGGGGTTCTCAGAACTGGTCCCTAAGCAGCAGCATTAGCTTTGCCTGGGAACTTGGCAGAAGTGCAGATTCTCAGCAGAGGTTCAAACCTGAACGAACCGGAAGCTTATGCTCCTTACCACTGCACTAAATTACCCTGAGAAACAGCCCTGGAATATTTGATGTAGGTTGTTTCTCTAACAGTACAGTGGAATGTACATCAGCTTCGGAGTCCAAAGATATGTGTTCAAATCTTATATCTTCCTTTAATAGATTTGTAACTTTAGTAAAGTTATTTAACTTTTGAGCTTCACTTTCCCTGGACATAAAATGGAGATGACAATACCTACCTGAAAGGATCGATGTGATCTTTGAGATACAGATAGATAGTGCATGTAACATGTTGTTGTCGGCTGCTGTCGAGTCAGCCTGCAACTCACGGACACCCCACGCACAGTGGAACGAACACTGCCCAGTCCTGGGCCATCCCCATTATTGGTTGTGGATCTGACTTTTGTGATCCACAGGGTTTTCATTGGCTATTTTCTGAAGCAGGCCACCAGGCCTTTCTTCCTAGTCTGTCTTAATCCAGAAGCTCTGCTGAAACCTGTTCAGACACATGGCAACATGCAGGACTCCACTAACAAAGGTTGTGAGTAGAACGGCTCTGTAGGGTTTTCTTGGCTGTACTGAAGCAGATTGCCAGGTCTTTCTTCTGCAGAACCACTGGGGGGTTTGAACCTGCAACTTTTTGGTTGGCAGCTGAGTGCTTTGCCGTTGTGCCACCAAGGCTCCTTCCATGTAGCACAGTGTCTGGAAAATAGCAGGTACTCAGTAAATGTTAGTTCCCATGAGGTGAGTTGTACAGGAATACTTAAAAATCATTCTTGCAATGACAAGAGAGTAGTGTTTGAAACTTGGTGTAGTTTCTTGCTTAAAGAAAATCTAAAATCTGAATTTATAAAACAAATTAATTCAGAAGTGATTGTTTGCTTTTAAAAAATAATTATTCTAATCAGTGTGTTTCCAATTTTAGTGAACACAAGAATCACCTGGGGAGCTTTTTGAACATGCATATCCCTGGTGCCAGCCCCAAAAGCTTTTCAGCAGGGCTGCCAACAAGCCCAGGTGTTTAACAAGCAAACCCTTTCCCCTCCCAGGTGACTCTGATGTAGGTGCTTCCTCCAGCACACAGCTTGCAAGAGAAAATCTCCTGTTACTGTTTCTAGCTTTATGTCATGGATAAACTCAAACATACAGTAAAGTAGATAGAATAGTATGATGAACACTGCATGTTCATCTGCCAGCTCCAACAGTGATCCACCCATAGTAAATTCTGCTCCATTCACTCCTTCATCCACTCCCCACCCCGTATTATTTTGAAGCAAATTCCAGATATCATTTTATCTGTAAATGTTTGCCTATATATCTATTAAATATAAAAACCTGTTTCCATCGAGTCGATTTCCACTCATAGCGATGCAGTAGAACTGCCCCAAAGGGTTTCCAAGAAGCAGCTGGTGGGTTCGAACCACCGACCTTTTGGTTAGCAACCGACCTCTTAACTACTGCACCACCACAGCTCTAGGATAGACTTTTTTTTATAATATATGTAGCATAATATAAAATAAATATATAAAGGCTCTTCTTAATAATTTAAGCCACAATACCATTATCATGTAAAAATTAATAATTGCTTATTAGCAAATATAAGTCGGTGTTCAAATTTCTACATGTCTCATAAATGTCATTTTTGTTTCTCAGTTTGTATATTTGAATCAGGTACAATTGGCTGGTATGCTGTCTCTTGTAATCGGTAGGTTTTTTCTCCATCTCTGTTTTTCCCCTTGTAGTTTATTTGCTAAAGAAGCTGGGTTGTTTGTCCCGTAGTCTAGAGCAGGGGTTGGCAAGTGTTTTCTGTAAAGGGCCAGATAGTAAACATCTTAGACTTTGTGGGTCACATATGGTTTCTGTACATATTCTCCTTCTGTTATGTTTTCTTGTTTGTTTTCACATCCCTTTAAAAATGTAAAAACCAGTCTTAACTCCCCAAGACTGTTTTTCTACCCTTGGTCTAGAGCTGTGCTGTCCAGTAGGGTAGCCACTACCCACAAGTGGCAATTGAAATTGAAATTAAAATTGAATAAAATAAAGATTTTACCCTTGTAGGTACATTAGTCACATTTCAAGGGCTTAGAACTCACAAGTGGCTAACGGTTACTGTACTGGCCAGCACAGATTATGTAATATTTCCTTCATCACAGAAGGTTTGAACAGCACTGCTAGAGTTTCCCAGGGTCTAGATTTTCTGACTGCGTCTCCACGGTGTTGTTTAACATGTTCCTCTATCCTTTGTAAATCCTTTAAATTGGTCATTGGTTCTAGAGCTTGGTCAGATTCATGTTTGATTTTGTTTCTTCTCTGATGGTGGGGCAGACTTTGTTATAGGCTTCTGGGTGTGTTGTGCGTTTAATATTTAAAAATACCCAGGAACCTATATAATTTTTTTTCACTTCTTTGGAGAAATATATTGGGAGAAATTAAACTTGTATGACAATGATTGATGTATTGAATACTGCTATTTGTTGTGAGAATAATAGAAACAGTTGTTAAAATTGATAAAATTGAATGTATTAGCAATGTCCCTAATGCCAGCAAGGCTCTGTCAATTCATTCATCTGTCTTTATAAACCAACATATCAAAGCCTATTATCCCGAGTCCTCAATAGGCCAGCCAGTTTTTAGTTTTTTAGTGGGGTCATGACAGCAGGGGTAGAGCTAAGCAGATAGCCAAGTTATTTCATAGTTATTTAATGGGAGGATTGCATAAGGTTGCTTTTTTCAAGATTCTGTGTTTCCCTTAGATATAATGTCTTTTTAAAAATTAAATAAAATATGTTTTTGAATTCTCATTGAAAATGAACCAGAACAAGCTCAAACATTACCTTAACCCTTCATTTAGCACTTTAAAATTAGTCCTCAAGCTAAATGGCATCTGTAGAGTTAGGAGAACGTTGATACCTCTTGATATTATTAAACATTTTTACCTAAATTTAAACTTCTAATTTTTGTGTTAGACTTAGTCCATGAATTTTAAAAAGAAATGCAAAATGCTAACTGTTCAGAGCTGTTACTAACTTTAATAAAGGCTATTATTTCAGCTTTGGAAGGGTTAGACATAAAACTAACTGGTTTTAGACACTTGGTTGTAATTTAATTCTAATGGAAAACTCAGATTGTATACGTAAATAAATTTTCAAGTAGCAAATATTAGGATAAAATATTCTAAAATGATACATTTCTCCCTAAGTCTTGTAGTTGGATGTGATTGGTTATATGCATGCAGTACACACTAAAGAAGAGGCAAAACGCTAGCTTCAGCAGTTTTTCTAATCGTAAGCACTAAAATTCATTCTTCCTGTAACTTTAAGGTGTAATACCTTTCTTCACAAAGGGTAAACGTTAAAGTGCTTCCACACACACGCTTGTTTGATCCTTATAGTGACTGTTCTACAATTTAGTAAACTACTTCTGATTACACACTACTTACTTGTAAAGAGAATGTAGGCCTTATGTTGATTTTTTAAAAAATAATGTTGCCACTTTTTGTTTTTACAATATATTTAGCATTTGAAAGCATCAACATATTCTTAGGACTTGACACACTATATAAATTAAACTTTTTGGGTCCTGTTAATTAATAGTCATGTTCTTTTTGGAAATTCTCCCTCTTCCCTTCCCCTCAAAAAAGAAATTATATTGTTAGAGGAAGCTCATTGTATAAAATGTTTCCTTTGATAGTCAAGTAAGTCAGAAAAGATTTTTGTAAAATTGACTATAATGTCTAATCACTGACTACTTAAGTTAAATCTCTGATCTAGATGTTTACATCAGTTTATCTGTTTATAGGACTTGACTCTTAAAACCATATATTTTTAGTAAAATATTTTGTTTAGTTCCCCCAGAATTTTGGCAAGATATTTCATGTGTGTTAAAATATTTAATAATGGCTTTAATATCAGCTATATTTTTATGTCAGGTAACGTAAAATCTGAATTTCAAAAAAAGTTTTTAAACTTTGTTTTACACTTGTAAGCATTTTGAGGTATATATTTAGTTTTGAGTTCAGTGGGAAAATGTCAACTTTGTAACAAGAAAGAAGTAAATTCTAGAAACCAGAAGTTATTTTGTGTGTACTTCATTATCCCATTTAAATATCGATTCCTAAACATTCTTCAAGGTCTCTCGGCGACGCAAATGGTTTGCACTAGACTGCTAACCTAAAGGTTGGCAGTTCAGACTCACGGGAGAAAAGACCTGGCGATCTGTTTTCGTTAAGATTACAGCCAAGAAAACCCTACGGCGCAGTTCTACTCTGCACACATGGGGTTGCTATGAGTCAGACTCAACTCTACTGCAACTAACGACAAACATTCTTCTCATTCCCCACTTCTCCCCATAATGTCATCAGTTCCTCCATCTGTTGTGGTCAGTTGCATTGCTGATACCTAAGCTGTTTGAAGTTTAATTGATGCCAACCTAGGGCTTCCTTGGCAAGGATTTTCCTTCATCAACCGGAATTGGTAACATCAGAAACTACCATTCCAAAAGCTTAATTAGACCATGTCACATCAGAAACAAAAAACCCTTGGTGTTCAAGTTCCCACTGAATGAGACCTGCGTAAACACATGGAATATCCCAAATTCTCTGGTGCCTCAGTTCTAGGAGATGACTTAGAACCATGTTAGTCAGCCCATGGCTACTACTAAAAGAAGAAAATTCCAGGGCAACCCACATCCATACTGAGCTTGAGGGTTGGGTTGACCCAGAAAGGTTTAGGATTTGATTGTCATTGACCACCATTTGCCATACTGCATTCAACCCCCTGTAAGGGGTCTTTTTATTTTCCTTTCTTCCCTCACTTGTACCACATATCCATCCTGTCTCCAGAGGCTGTTTTTGTTTGATGCGTATTTCTTAACTTCTATCCATTTGCCAGTTCCCACAGCCAAGTGTCTCATTTCTTCCTCAGTGATCTGCTTCTCCCTCTAGCATCACATTCTACACTCAGTCCTTATGCCTTTCCTGAAGTAATTTTTCTACCAGCTGATTCAGTGTTGTCACTGTTTTCATCAAAAGTCTATAATGGCCGACCATTACCATCTGTGGTACTCAAAATTTCATGACCATTTATCAGGCTGGCCTAAGCTCCTTCACCATCCGCCCACCTGACACTATCAGCGTAGTACAGTAAAGGGTTCTATGCTAACTTACAGTTTATTTCAGCTTGGTTTTTGCTACCGCCAGTGAGTCTTGCCCTTGTTCTTTTGTTGGACTCCCTTGTCCCAAATCTTATAAGATTTCCCCCCAAGAATTTTACTAATGAGAGTTTCTATAATCAGTGCCAATTATTGTACCTACAGTTTATCAGTATATTATAATATTAAATTTTTTTCTTTTTGTTCTGGGTTTAATTTAAATTACTGCCTTATAAATTTTATACTTTAATGTGTATGTCTGTTACATTATTATTCATCTTTAGGAAGTATGATATAGGCTTCCTGGTTAGACCACAAGATAGGTGCTTAATAAATATCCACTGAGGATATTAACCTTGGACTACATACCTGATTTCTCCTATGTATTATACCTTTCCTTTGCCCACTTTTAAATAGTATGTGAAGCTTGCTAATATAATTATTGAATATTTTCAGTTCTGTTTTTCTAGTAATATATGTGAACACACAGGTATGTGTATGTGTGCTTTACAGAAGGTAGTGTAACATAGAAAGATTACGATCTTGATCATTGGCTGTGTAACTACAGAAATTATTTCACCATTCTGACCCTCGGTTTCCTAATCTGTAAAGTGGGGATGATAAACTATCTTAAAAAAAAACAGTTGCCATCAAGTCGTCTCTGACTCATGTGTGTCACAGTAGAACTGTGCTCCATATGGCTTTCTGTGACTGATTTTGGGGGAGTAAATTGCCAGGCCTTTCTTCTGAGGCATCTCTGTGTGGACTCGAACCTTCAGTCTTTTGGGTAGCAGCCGAATGCATTAACTTTGTACCACCCAGGGACTCTGTAATCTACCTTACAGGGTTGTTATAAGCATGAGGAAAAAAACATTATTTTGAGTACCTAGTAAATGCCTGACGAATAGTAGACTAAGAAATGGCCATTTTTATTACTGTTAATCTAGATGGTATTGAATTTAAGGGGAAAAAATAGGAAATGGTTGTTACTCAGACACTGGACCGCATTAATATCTATTTTTCTTTTTTCTGTCTCTAGATTGAATATATTTCGGGAAAGGTTTTTTTCACCACCTGTTCAGATTTGAATACACTGAAGAAGTTAAAATCTGCAGAAAGATTATTTTTGCTGATTAAAAAACAGTTTCCACTTACTGTTTTTTCTGCAAGTAAAGGTATGGTGTATGCCTATTGCTTTTACACATGTGATATATTGTACTCCAGAGTTTTCTGCTTGATAGTTAATATTTAGCCATTTCACATTTTTAAGATTCATTCATGCCTCTGGGATCATTAGTTTTATATTTTTTACTGTATTTCCTGGATATTAATTATCACCTAATTGTAGTAGTTAGAGTCTGTCTCTTCTCTTTACAACCTGCTTTCTGTCTGCAGAGGTATAGGTGTTCTTGGCCACATTTTTTCTTTGAGAATTATGATCAGGCACCTTCTCTAGAGATATGTATGGTCAGTTGTATTTATATGGATTTAGAGGCATGTAATAACTCAAAATGCATTATTTTAAAAAATTGTTCAAAACTGTCACCTTTAGTTCATAAGTGATAGAATTGGAAAAATGCCACATAGTAGAATTTCCTATTTCTGGGACTTCAAATGTTTTTGAATACATTTTTATCCATTTATAAAGCACTGGAGGTAAAAGAGCCTTAAGGGAAGTCTGTCCACTCCCTAATTTTATAAATTATTCTGCTAAAGTAATTTTAAAAGCTTGTTAAAAACAGCAAAGAAGTGTCAGACACTGCAGGAGAAAGCTGCCTTAAACTTTATTTTGATTTGCCCATTTTACACGATTGTATTGTCTATAGTAAACTAATTCAAGAAAGATACAGATGGCAAGAAATCAAGGCAGGGCAGGAAAATATTGTTTTAAAGTAAATCCCAAAGTATTATACTTTGGAGTCAATATAATTTCATCTCAGTATTCCACACGCTCTCATCTTTAGGGAACCACAGTAAATTACTCTTGGATCATCTTGATGGCCCTTACTCATCCAGAAAAAATTAAATTATGTTGAGCATGCTGGCAATCCCTGAATTATGAGTGAGCTGTATATCTGAAGTGTTGCCTTATGGAAACTTATTTTAAGATATGTGCTAATATCATATGGTCTAAAATGAAATACTCCCAAGATTCAGTTGCTCTGTTTTTGAGCTCTGTGGTTTGCAGTTAGTTCTGTTTCTTTTTTAACTTAATTTTTCTGAGTTCTGTGGTTGGTAATATTCTGTATTTTTAAACTTAATTTGTATAGGCAAAATCAGCATTATTTCAAAGATAGATATGCACTCTAAGTCTGCATATGTTGAAGGTACGTATTATGATAGGACAAGGGCCTTGCTATAATATATGATAATTCTATAGGAATTTTAAAACTTTAAATATAGTCCATAGCTTTTTTACTCCTAATTCCTATATTTAGGAAAGCTGTAAACATTCTTTAGTATTTTAAGTTATATATCCTCCATCGGTAGAGATTTCCTCAAGCTCTTTACCAGTCTCAGTATGATTTGTTATAATAAGCATACTGCCTATATAAATACTTCCAATTCTTAAATATTTGTATTAAAATATTTATAGTCTAGAGAAATCAATTTGTTTTTCATTCATTCATTCCACAAATATTTATTGAATGCCTACCATATGTGAGGCATTCTTCTGAGCACTGGGGACACAGCACAGTAGTGAAAACTACAGACAGACATCGCTGCCCTTGTGGGCTATATTAACTGAAATAGACAACAAACAAGTAAAAACATATAAAATGCAGTATGTCAGCTGGTGGTAAATGCTACAGATTTAAAAAAAAAAAAAAAGGAAAGGAATTAAGACTTGGCATGGGTGGTGGGGTGTGTGTTTTGGGTTGAGTGGTCAGGGAGGGCCTCACTGAGTGAAGACTAAGGAGGTGAGAGAATGAGCCCTGCTGGTATCTAGAAGCGTGTTCTGGGCAAGAGGGAACAGTGAGTTCAGATGCCCAGAGTTAGGAGCACGCCTGATTCGAGGAACTCCAGGAAGGCCAGTGTGGCTAGAGCGGAAAGTGCCAGTGGGAGTGGTATACAAAACAAGTTCAGTTAATTTCAGTGAACTGAACTATTTTCGGTCATGCATCCCAGAAGAAAAATAACAGTTTGGGTGGTATGTATACAAAATAAGAATGAGCTTTATTCTGGAAAACGTCTTATGATAAATTATATAAATTCCAGATTAAAGTAAAACCACTACTCAAGTAGCAATTTAAAAAAAATTGTTTTTAAAAAGTAAAGGTAAAGGAATTCAGGGGAAATGAGTATAATAGGCTGTCTTTAAAGCTTCAATATAAGATCAACTGAGATGTCATTTGTTTAGGAAAAATATTTAAGGAACTGCAAAAACTTATAAATGATGATCCAGGAAGTTGGTTGAATGCCATTTCACTTTGGAAAAGTCTTCTTGAACTTGATGCAAAAAATGAAAAACTTTCTCAAGAAAGTTCTCCCCCACTGAAAAGAAAAGTGGAAGAAAATGAAATTATCGTTGCTAAGAAATTAAAAACAGAGCAAATGCAAGAGCTACAAGAGAATAGGGAATGCCAGCTGGAAAAACAAACAGGAGAAGAAACACTGGAGCAAGAAGATTTTATCACTAAAAGAGAAGATTTTCAAGAAGAAGAGTTTCAGAATGATGTCGAGAAAGCAATTGTTGGTCATAACCAGAAAGACTTGACTTTCAGAGTGTCTTGTCGCTGCAGCGGGGCTGTTGGAAAGACCTTTACTGCACAGGTATGTTCACCTCCCAAAGTGGTTTCCCATTTCGTAAAAGAAGTATTTACTCTTTAGATTTAAAATGAGATTAAAATCTCTCAGAGAACAGATGACTAGGCCTAAACAGATAACTAGGCTTAATCATATAATTTAATGTTTTTAAACATTCATTTTTTCTTAACTTTACCTTAAATGTTTAAGAAGAATGATATGCTATTCCATGCAATGACTCTTAATTTCTGCCTAAGAGTTTCCTTAAACTCATAGATGTCCTTGACATTTGGCAACTCTAATATCATGGTCCTAGCGGTTAAGAGCTCAGCTGCTAACCAAAAGGTCTGCAGTTCGAATCCACCAGGCACTCCCTGGAAACCCTATGGGGCAGTTCTCCTCCGTCCTATAGGTTCACTATGAGTCGGAATCGACTTGACGGCAGCCAATTTGAGGTTTTTTTTTTTTTTTTTTTTGGTTAAGCTTCTTA